AATTATTTACTACCAACTATCCGATACAGATTTTTTTCTTACTTTGGTTTAGAAGCCCAGAAGGAACATGACCGACTCATATTATTTCTTCCAATAGATTATTTTGAATGTAATGTCATGAATTTTTACCTACATGGTTCGGCTCAACTCTTCTCTGGGAAGATCTCTCTGATATTTCTTATGGCCTCCTCTGGTTTTATCTAAATTGCACAATAAGTAAACACTGAAATATTCTTCCTTCAGCCTTTCCTGTAATTACACATTAACAAGTGTATCAGACTGTATCTCTGATAACAGTACAACAGAATCTCTCAAGTTATTACATAGATGTATATCTTTAATAGTCCACTGCATTACCTTCAGTTAAATTCCAAGTTTATACCAAAGCTACTGATAACCAGCCCTGTTCTGAAAAGTCAGATAAATAACCCCTCATCTATATTTCGAAAAGCTGCATTTCTAACCATCTACTATTGTAACAAAAAAAAAAATAATCAATCCAAACCCCAAATCACAAGTGGCCCTCAAACTGGGTTAAACAGAAATTCAAAGAAACATTAAAGAAACATTAAGATAGTCACTGAAGGACACTATTAAATTGTTTCTTATGAAACTTCATAATTTATCAATACACATAACATCTGTCACATAAGACTTAAAATAAGTCTTCTCGGACTTAGAACTCTAACATGAAACCAGTAAAACATACCAATGATACACCTCATTTTGAGAATCTTTCGCTCCACGGAGGTTGCCTTTGCATACTGGAATACCTTACCAGGAAGTACAGTAACAGCGAGCATCTTCAAAAGTTTTCTAGAAGCAATAATCTAAGAAAATAATGATCAATATACAAAGCCACATTGTAAACATTCTTTTTTCTGCTCCTATTTTTATAATGGAGCAGCCCTCCTCTTAAAATTATTTTTTTGAAAGCTCTGCTTAAAAAAAAACCCCACATAATCCTGAGAATTCTCAGAAAACTTTGGACATCAAATGGATGTGAAACTGAACATGGCAAATATCCAAGATTCTCTGTGAAGAAAGGCCCAATAGCAAACAATTAAGCACAGCAGTTCAATCATTTTCTCAAAATTCTCAGGATAATTAGGGAATGTATTCAGCACAGAAAATTGTACTGTCAAACTAATCCAGTAAATTTAATCGAAGGTCTTTCACCAAATACAGGAGCACAAATTCAATTGCTTTAAAACAAAACAAAGCAAATCCCAAACAAAACCCCACCATAAACCAGTAGAATTCCTTTATTCAGTAGGAATTACGTAGGCCTAATTTTCAGTTTCTCTTTGTAAGGGAAGTTTTTTGTACTGAAAGATATAATAGTGAAACTGAAAGAGCACCAAGGCTGATTCAATTCATGTTTATTTGGGTAACAACATACTAAAGAGATTTTTAGGGTTATTGGATGAAATTCAACTAGACCTATTTACTGCTCAAAATATAAATGACATCTAGATCTACTTTCAGATGCTTGATAGTAGACATGTGGTTTATTATTTATTTTTATACAAAAATAAATGATGTCGTCCTCAGTGACTTGATTTTGCTTTACTCTTCAACCTGCACATGAGGAGGACACGAGAAACCTGCCTGTCGGAAGCTAATCTTTGCATATGCTTTTGGAAGATGTTAATTTGTCAATGCTGATGGTGGTTTGGGTAACACAGATACCTAATTCTATGCTACTTTTCACAAATAAGGAGAAGCAAGGTAAAGAAGTGTTTTGGTTGGAGTGGGAAGGCATCCACAGTCTATGGTAGTAGGTGCACTGAAAAAGGAAAGAAAGGTAAAGAGCAGAAGCATACAGTTCACTATTTAATATCTGATACAGGCAGAATACACAGTGGCTAAGCACTCTGTAAAGAACTCCATAGTTGAAAATTCAGGTTAGCACTGGAAGGTGCAGACAGGACGTATTGTTGGCCTGAACCACAAACAAGTGAGTATTTGAAGGAGTTTTGCTGTAAAGGTGCTTAGTTAAATTGCAGACTAAAAGAATTTTGATGTGAAGACACTTAGTTAAATTGTAGGTCATTGTTTAAGACTATAGGATTAGTTTACTCATAGTGGTATTTTATTTTGGCATATTTGGTTCTTTCTGAAGATGTTTAATATATGTGACAATAATAAAAAAGTTGACTGGCCCTCCTAAGTTCCATCACTCACTTCTTGATTATTGGTTGGTTTCAAGTGTAATAATTGACAGTCACAAAAAGGGAAGCATCAAGGGACCAATAATTCTCATGTGAGGTGAAAAAAACCCCACCAAACCCCCCCAAACAAACCACCAGTGAAACCTGAGGGAAGCTTAGTCATTGCTTTATGTTTCTCTCAACCAGCCATCTCCCCCTCCACCCCCCACCAATATCATGCTTCAAATATTTAGCTACATTGTTCAGCTTGAGAATTTACAAACCCTAAATACTTTCCTTGTCTATAAAGAGCAAATTTCACAAGAAACAAAGTATTTCCTTCTTGAAAACTGCTACCATTAAGGTTCAAGTAACACACTTGCTGGTTGCAAGCTGTTAAACCATAAAACTGATATAAACAATTATGAGGGGAAGAAATGTCAGCTTAACTCCCCCCCCCCCCCCGCCCCCCAACTATCAAGATACAGAAAAATCAAGAAGAAACCAAAGATACTACATCAGAAGTAACTAGTAATTCAAGAGAACCAAATGCATGTCTGTATTTGGATACTTACAGTGCTTATGCACTTTTTGGGAAAGGAGAAGAATAAAATATATAAGGCCAAGGTAAGGAAAAAAACACCAACCAACCAACCCTTGGGATGAGTCCATAACTGACTGTAAATTTTATGTATCAGCTTTATTTACAGCAAAACATAGTAAACTTTACTCTTGATTTTTTGTAAAATTATTTTAGTGAACATGTAAATATTCATATTTAGAAGTCACAGTGTAAAAGGACGCAACATTTGCAAAAAGAATATGTAAAACTATTAGATGTTAAACCAATTAAATGATTAAAATTATACGAGGTTTTCTTTTGAACTCAAACAATCGTTATAGCTGAAAAAAGGAAAATAATTCCATTACTACTATAACTTTTTTTCCTCTAATGCAAACCTTTCGGAGTAGAAACACCTCCTAAAAAAGTACTAAATCTCATTAACAAAGCAGAACTGATGTAGTTTTACTTAAGGATAATGGGAGGTGACAAGATCACATGAAAAAAAGGAATTATTTGAAAACAAAACAACCAAGGTAGTAAAAATTCAGAGATGAGGCTATTTTTCTTCACTTGTGTACATAACAAATATCCTCAATTTGACTGCAACAGGGACAAGAAAAAAAAAACAACAAAACAACAAAAACATCAACAGCCTTTAAAACATCTCTGAAGAAATAATGGAATATTTGTTACTGCTGTAGGAATTCTTAAACTTATTCTAATGCACACTACCAAACAATAATTCTGCATCTTCTCCAGTGACCTGTATGATTTCCACATTTAGCCACAAATAAACAAAAATCCCCATCAGGTTTCACCTGTCAGGGGAGGTGGAATGTATGTTTGTAAAACCTGTTTATTAAATATTATTTTAGTACCTCGGTGCTCGAGCTCAGGTCAGGCACTGGGGTTCCATTTTGCTCAGTGCTTCACAATAGTTAAAGACAATCCTTATTTTGCAGTCAAAACACCACTAACATCTTGATTCTGTGGGCTGTATTTTAAACTGCATCAGGAAAAGTTGAGTTGCCAAAAGAACAGGGAAGTTCAGTATACTCTGATAGTTTTCCTCTATTTTCAGACTCTTTAACTATTACAATTTCTGTATTCCTCAGTTGATAGTTTTAGTGATGCCATACAGAAGTATATTTATGTAAGCATCAAGGGAAATTAAAATGTTAATCACATTATTCATGTAGCCCTTTGTTGTGAGAACCACCTATGAGAGATACTACAATATGTATTTTACATAGCTAATAAAAGACAAGCCACTTTATGTTTTAAATCTTTATTAGATGGTAAATATTATTTCATTGCCACTTCAATTATGTGATGTGTGGATTTAAAATACAGCTGAAACACGGAGCAGTTATTGTTAGAAAAACTGGGAAAAGGGAGACACACATACATTTTTAAATACATAACGTGAGCCTGGCTACAGACAAAGTGATCAAACCCATGCAAGAGTTTATATCTTAAAAAAACATTTGTCCTACAAAACACATTTACTCTGACGATTACAACAGACATGCTGGATTATGATTTCAATGATTTTTTGAACATTTGATAACAGTATGTCAAAATGCACAGCAACACAGCATCTGCCACATCAATCTGATTTTTCTCACTTTTTATAACACGACTTCATGGAAATACCTGACATTTCAGCCTCCCTTCTCTAACCTTCCACGGATATGTTTGTGCAATAAAGCTGAAGCGTGGTCGCAGCAGCTTTCTCACCGTGCCAAGCACAAAGCTCAAGCAGCAGGCTTGTACACCAACCTCAGAGCCTTGGAAACATACATGTAAAAATGCTCAACTCAGCCTCCCCTCAGCTGCACAGAAAGATGCTTTAAATCGAATTTTGTTAAAAGTTATGCAGTTGGGAGCTTTAGGGTCTCTACATACACAGCATTATTTGTCTAATTCCTATATAATTTCAAACATACTTTCGGCTTTGCCTCACGAGTCACATTAGTTAGTAAACGGGGCAAAATAATACTAAAAAATGACGGCTTCTCCTGTTTACACCGATCCCTGCTACATTCACTCTTATTGTCCACAAACATGTTGGCTCTGGCAAGGCCCAAACTCGACCTGAAAAAGCATAGATGCATTGCAAACCATAAAGTAATTATGCTCCTTTATACCCCTTCCTTGTCGGACACAGATTTGTTTTTTAAAGGTAGTTATTAGTAGTAACGATAGTTACCTTTAAACAAAGCAAAAATTACTTGCTTTGGTTTTATTTTCTTTTCCTTTATGACTGCAAGCAGCAAATAAAAAGATACAGCACGAATCAGAACGTTTACTCGGTATCGTCAAGCTAACAAGCATTAAATAAACCAATGTTTTAATCTCTAATCAGGCCCTGTACAATGTTGCAGCCTTTCAGGAACCTTCGGTACGTTATTGATCCACTAGTGAATTACCTCCAGTCCAGCCATAGGTTGCAGGCATCATCATCCTTCGCTTGTCCTCGCGTTGACAACACTCCTTTTGCCATCGCTCCTAGAGGCCGCAAGATTCGTCAGTCCGGCGTGTCTGATGTGGTTGGCGGCAAGAACAACGAATAAACCGGTTACTAGCTGTTTGAGTTTTTTTTTTAAGGGAAGTTCTGAAACGGAGTACCCTGCGAGCTCTTCACCCTCCGTGGCAGAGACATGGCCCCAAACAGAGCTGCCGCCTGACGAACAACCACGTTTCAGGTTGTCTGGGGCTTGCTGGGACTCCCACTCCCCCCAAACATAAGGCAAGAACCCGGACCCGGGCACGATGTTGCAAGAACAAGACCCAAAAACGCGTGACATTGGCACTTACGCGCAGATGCCAAACCCGCCGCACCCCAAGGCCCCGCCGAGCGCCGAAAGAGCCCGGGGCTGCCGGAGCCTCGCGCCCGGGAGGGGCCTGGTTACGGGGCTAGGGGAGCCTCAGCGGGTGGAGGAGGGGGGCTGAGAGGAGGGCCAGGCTTCCTCAGCCCGCCTCCCCAGCGGGGCCGCACTCCCCAGGGGCATTTTGGCTTCGTTCGCTTCCCTTTTCTGCAACACTGCAACTCGGTAACTTCCAGGCCCGCCGCCGCCGCGAATCGCCGCTGCCCCTTCTCAGCCCCTCCTCCCCGTGCGTTGTATCCCTCCGCGCTCCGGCCGCCCGCACCTCGCAGAGAAAGCGCCTTTCAGCAAGCAGCCCGCCGCCTTCCCGCCCGCCCCGCCTCTGCCGCTCCGACATCTTCTGCCTCAGCCCGCCCGCTAATAAACACGTAGCGCTTGCTCTCGCCCCTTCTCCCCTCAGCCGGGCAGCGGCGGAGGCCGCCGCGGCGGCGGGGCAGGGGCAGAAGAACGCGACTCCCCCCTCCCTTTCCCCGCCTGGCCGCCGCCGCCGGGCGCTGGGGACTGAGGGGTGCAAGGAGCTGAGGGAGGAGGGGCTGCGCGCGCGGCGCGGAGCGGAGAGAGGCGCCGGGAAGGCTGAGGCGGGGGGCGCGGAGGAGGAGGGAACTCTTTCTCCGTGCGGAGGGATCGCGCTCGCGCTGGCTGGCGGCCGCGGCGGTAGCAGCGGCGGCAGCAGCAGCAGCAGCAGCGGCGTCGGCGTTGGCGGCGGGTCGGTGTGAGTTGTTTCCTCCTCCTGCCCGTGGGTTGAATGGTGGAGCCGACACTCTTCCTGGTGAACGAACAGTGACAGCTACCGGGCGGGCGGGTGCGTTTCGCTAGGACCCTACGCTGCCGCGGGAGCGCGGCCCGAACCTCCCTCCCTCCTTTTACTCCCCCCCCCCCCCCCCCTCCCGGTTTTCGCCTCGCCATGTCCGGGGACGGCGGCAGCAGGCACACGGCGGAGCTGCGAGCGGGTGAGTGAGTGCCGCGGAAGCCACCGTGCAGGGCGGCGGGAGCCTGAGAGGGTCGGCGGGGAGGGGGAAGAAAGAAAAGCCAGCGGGGAAGGGGCGAGCTGCAGCCTTCACCGCCTCTCCTCTACCCGCAGAGCTCTACTTCCTCATCGCTCGCTTTTTGGAGGACGGACCCTGCCAGCAAGCGGCTCAGGTAGGGATGGAGGGATGGAGGGAGGCAGGGATGGCGCCGCCGGGCCTGGCGGGGAGGGGGCGGCCGGGCAGGGCGGCGGAACGGGCTCTTCTTTTTCCGTATTTTCTTCGTTCTAAAATCCACATCCCTTTTCTCAATACATTCTCGCATCCCTTTTGTTGCTGCAGGTCCTGATCCGAGAAGTGGCGGAGAAAGAGGTAAGCGGTGCCGCGCACCCGGCTCTCGCCCCGCCTGCGGCCTCCCTCCCCCTTCCCTCTCTCTCTCCTTCTTCCCCCGCCCCATCCCGGGGCCCTGCCGCTGCCGGGGGGCTGCTCGGGGGAGGGGAGCCACTCACGGGGCGTCCTCTCTGCCCTCCCCTAGCTGCTGCCCAAGCGGACCGACTGGACGGGCAAGGAGCATCCCCGTAGCTACGAGAACCTGGTAAGCAGCCGGCGCGGCGGGCAAAGTTGGGTGGATTTTCTTTTCCCCTCGCTCTCCCTGAGCAGCCCTAGGAAAAAATTGAATTTCCCGCAAAAAGAAAATTACAACTTAAAAAAAAACCGCAAAAAACAAACTTGAGAAATTTTTTTAAATTTTATTTTTTTAACATAACCTCATCCTCGTCCTTCCCTTTCCCCCCCTATCCCGGGGGCAGCCGCGGGGTCCCGCCGGTGTAGCCTGCGCGGGGTAAATAACAACAAGCACCCAAGCCCCGGCGCGGCCTCGCCGGCTGCAAACAGAGGTACGTCATGGACGCGGCGCGGGCGGGCGAGAGCGAGCGGCGCGGGGCGGGGCCAGCGCGGGGAGCGAGCGAGCGGGCGGGCGGGCGGGCGGCCGAGGCCGCGCCGCCGGCAGGAGGGGGCGCTCTCCTCCGCATAGAGCCGCGCCGTCCGCACGCACAATGGCTCCGCGCTGCCGCGCACCGACCCGTGGTGAGGCAGCGGAAGGGGTCGGGGCCCGGGCCGCTGTGTTGAGGAGGCCTTTATTCCCCTTCGCCCTGCTGTTCACGGGTTGGGATCGACACGGCGGTTTGGGTTTGGTGTGTCCTTTCTGGTGCGGTGTGTGCCCGCGTTTCGTATTGCTTTTGAAGCTTGTATACAGTGTATCTGGTGTGTAGGAATAACTGGTTCACAGGTTGACATCACAAACTTAAGTGGTGTCGTTGTCCACCCCACACCTCCCCCTTGGTTTTTTTTTTTATTTTCCCCTAATTCCCCGTGTGTGCTTTTCATCTCTGGTGCGCATCAGTGATTTAAAAGTGTTGTCTGCGCGAGTGGTATAGCTCTTGCTAGCTGAGAGGGGCCTGGATATATTTTTCTTTAATATACTATGAACTGCAGTAGTTGGGGAAACGGCAATTAAGGTGCCTGAATTGTGTTTGTTAGCAACTCGTTGCTGGTATTATTTTTGTTACAGGTGCGCTGTTGTGCAATTTAGTCTCTGGATTTCTGAATAAGATTTCAGAGGAAAATTGAGCCATGTTTGTAATATGCGTCAAAGCAAGATTTCCCTTTGGGATTTCTGGTTGGTTATGGCAGTTCTGAGCTCCAGTACTTCTGAGACTTAGACCAGAGAACTTTTGAGCTTGCACAAAAGGAAACAGAGCAGTTCCCATCAGTAATGCATCCAGTAAATACTACTGGCATATACATTATCTTAGTTATATTATTAATGTTACAGTATGACTCATAGGTATTTATTACAGTTGGAACAGGTTTATTTACTGCATTAGTTTTCTCTGGAGCAAGAGGTAGATTGGCTCAGGCACTTTAATGCATGTGTTGTGGAAGAATTGATAGCAGCTGACTTGCTGAAAACTGATTCGTACATACCAATAGTTCTCAATTTTCCTGAAATCAACCATCAAGAAATTCAACTGTGAATTTCAGAGTGCTGGTACTTTTGCATTATATACTGTGCTTTACCTATCTATTTATAAGGTCATATTATTTATTTCAGGTAATAGTCAGAAGTTGGTTGGCAAAACTTCCCATGTTTCTTGCGGTTTTGTTTTTTTTTTCCAATAAACTATGAAGAATTGCAGGTGTACTCCTAGTGTAGAATGGATTTGGGTTTCTTCTGTATAGTCAGAGTATGAAAGGATGTGACAAAAGAGAAAGTGAGAAAAAAGGGAGTTTGAAGTAAGAAGACTTGATGAGAAATAAATTCATTCAGACCCTTATTTCCAAGAAACATGTCATGTTTGTTGGAATGTTGGTATTCAGTTGTAATAGATATGTAATGAGGTAAGATGTACTTACTCAAAATTTGGACTTGATCGTGGGTACAGGTATCAGGCAGTGTGATGCTGACAAGCACCTTTCTGTTTTCACAGTCTTCAGTTCCTAACAGAGTTTCCTTCCCTTTGTCCCTACCTACATGTTGGGGGGGGGGGGGGAGAAACTGGTTACTTTGTTCTTGATGCTTTTCTCCATCCTCTCTCTGCTGTTGCTTCAGTTGTCAAAGATTCATAAACTTTGTACTACTTTACATTTTAGGCTTGTGAAAGCTGTCACGGAAGTGTATTTGCAGTGTGGCAGTTACATTTCATACGAAAGAGATGTTTTTCACAATGTCTTGTTTCATTAAACAAAAAATTTGCTTATTTCAAACCAAGGAACCTGTTAAGGTAGAGGGTGATGATAAGCTAATTTTCTGTTTCTACATTTTTATTATCTTTTTACTATTATTTAAATCTTTTTCCCAGCTTTAAGATGCTGCTTCTTTTTTCTGGAGACAGCATTTTCTGTCATGTTGGTACCACTTCTCAGACTTGAAAGCCTTGAGCTTTCACTAAACTTCATAGAAGGAGCTGAAGGGAGAAAAGCTAAGAAATAAAAATACCAGTAAATGTAGTGTTGGATGTCTGACTTTTGCTCTTGGAGGGAATAAAGGCTCTGTGTAACATGGGTGGAATTTAATCCCAGGATCTGTCTTGTTGGTTGCAAAATCATGTCTTTTATTATACATCTATTAAGGTGCATATCTTTTAAAAGGATGATGTTTTTCCTGGTTCTGTCCTTGTTTTGAAAACACTTACTTAGGAATTCCTATTAGAACTAACTTTCTGTTATTAGACTAAAATTCACAGCCTTAGATACTTTATTTCTGTCACTTAATTCATGCAAATAATGTTAAATCCCATGCAATTTTCATCTTGTAAATTATTTTCATTTTTCTGTTTGGTCAGTGAAAGTAAATGTTTCATCATCTTACAAGCTAACACTGTGCTCTGCATCCTTGTAATGCTACAGGAAAATAAATATGTTCAGAAATGCTATTATAATACAGTTTACATTCTGAAGTGATCTTTTTTGAATTCAGAAGTATACTGTTTCTCTAATACACTTTTCTACAGCCACCATTTGTCATATATATAAACCGCTTGAATCTCACTTTGAGAGTGTGGTCTCATTTCAGAGCACCAGTCTCATTTTTGTGTGTCAGTATGAAGGTTTCTATTTGTGTGATAACAAAACAGTTTCCGAGAACTAAGTACGCCGGTAGGTCAGTCTCAGTCTGTGTGTATCAAGGTTGGTGAGACTCTCCAGCAGCAGATCTCGGGATGTTTTGCATTCTCTTGCATTAGTTGAGACTTTTTAATGGTAAGCCAGCTGTTTTTGTCTTCTTTTTGAAAGACTGAGGATTTCTCATGATGGGGGACAAAAATCGAGGAGTTTTATGAGTTAACAGCTCACTTCGGGAGAGCCTGCAAATTGTTTACAGATTGTGGTTAAAGATGTTGTTTAAGTGTTGTGTGGTTAGGCTTTAAAGCACCTTTGCTAGGGCCTTGACACATGCACGAGCTGTGCATCATCATTTGACTCTAGGGTAATTGTTTTTTCACATTGCAGTTTTGACGTGCGTGTAGCTGCTCTAATTGTACACTGCAGATCAAAGCTGTGCATCTCTGCTGCATCCTTTGTGTGGACATGAGTGCTCATCCCAGCATGCGGTTAGTTAGATAAGGGAGCTGAACTGTCTGAAAAATGCACAGTAAAAAAATAGGTTTTGGGTGGTTCAGCTCTCCTCTTGCATGCAGCAATGTGTGTCCTACCAGCACAGTGAGGGATGTGATAGGGTTGCGCCTGGAGGGCTTTGGCAATGTGTTGGTGTTGCTCTTTTTGGGAGC